TAGGGATAAAGAGAGAAACCCGAAATAAATGTTTGCTGGTTTCTGCTCTTCTCTGCAATGAGCCTTTTGACTCCACCTCCTCTCAGTGAAATCGGGTCAGTGGAAACTATTTCTAGCCAGCGTGTGCCAGACTCCTCCGTGAGATTACCTAAGGTCAGGCAGACTCAGCTGGGGAAATGTCTTTTCTCTCGTGAGCATTGAGGTTTGCTCCGTGCAGAAGCCAGCCTGTGATACAGGAGGGATCCCCATGGCAGGCTACACTCTGATGCTGACATCTTTAGTGCCACTGGCCTGTGCTTCTGGGCTAATTTATTTCACTGGGACAAGCCATGAATAAAAATGACATTTAACTGGTATGTTTTCATTTGGAAGGTTTAATTAGGAGCTGTAAAACCCTCTATTTGACATTCTCTGTAAGCTGTTGCATCTTTGTCATCTTGTGTTATTTTTCAAGGCATCTAACTTAAGGTAAAGATAGTTTTGGGTTTGGGTTTTTTTTTAAATTTGTTGAAATTTACATTTTTGTACTGAGTTCTGGGGGCAATTTCTTGATGTTTCATTTTTTAAAAATTAAAGTTGGCCACAATAGTTTGTAGGAGGTACAATGCAGCTACAACCTGAGATTAAAATCTTAGCCAATATGTAAAACATGGGGTGGGGGGTAAATCACACCACAAGTAAATCAAATTCTGTGTGTCTGTGCTAGTTTGTAGCTGTAGTGCTTAGTAGGACAGGTGGAGAGGAGAGGATGTGGTATCACCACTTTGCATGTGGCTGCCACGCGATTGGAAGGTGTTCAAATATGATAGAGTTCAAGTTGTTTAGCGTTCTTAAATGTGTTTTGTTTCACATGCTTCCTTCCTAGGGGTAGGTCTTCATGCTTCGTCTGTAAATGCAAGTATAATGGGTAGATTTACTTTTTAAATTCAGCCTAATAATTTGCCCCACTCCAATAACTTGTGCATCTCTCAAAATTTTGGAGAAAAAGGTTATTGGAAATTTTATAGTTTTCTTAACTCCCTTTCTTGTTTGTAGCACTACTGACTTTTTCCAGGAGAGTCTAAGGTTTAAAATATTATCATGTTGATAATACAATACAATACAGTTGACTGTATGTGATATGATACTGTATTTTACGTATTAACTTACTCAATGTTTTATTGCTGTTTAAAATTTGAGTTTGCCTGAAAGGCTGAATAGACATGACAATTCAATAGTCTGGTATTGCCAAGTTTTAATAATCAAAACTCACGTGTGTATTTAGGAAATGACAATACTATTTCCCCCCCTAAATTCAATTTATATTTCTTATCTAATTTTAATATTATTTCAAGACTTGCATCGTCATACATTGGTCAGGAAATGGGGGGAAAGGACTATTTTTCATTCTGAAGAAACAAAACCAGTCTTAGACTTTGTGTGTGTGCGATGAGGTGAGTCCACAGGGAGGAATGGGACAGGTGTGGGTGTGCAGAACGTGGGGGGGCCTCCACACCCCACAGGGGTGCCAGAAGAAGGGAGAACTCTAGTGCTGCCATTGTTCTGCTGTGCTCTGCCCTCTCCTACAGCGAAGGCTTGGTCCCCCAGTGAGATCAAGTCAGTGGCAGAAATGGCAGATGGGTGAGGGAGGAGGAGGATGCTCCCTGTTCACCTGCAACTTTGCTTATCTTTTGTATGAAGCATTTGGTGATATCTAGTACTCTTCTTGTGAAAGATTGAGAGGGTGCCATCCCATTGCTAATTTGCAGCAGGTTTCCACCTTCCTGAGTAGGTATAGAAGAGATACGTAGATGTGTAACACGATGATGGCAGGAGAGGGAACCAAAGGTAGTTCAGGTATGCTTTGTGGGTCTTCCTCCCACAGTCAGCAGTGTCATTTTTGTGCTTGCTTGTCTCCTCTGGAGTTGGGATTTGAGGGAGGCAGATTGTCCATCTTTTCTGATTAAAATGCAGGAGAGGCTGACTTGTTCTGCTGGCTTACAAAGTGCCATCAATGAGGCGATGAATTCCTAATATAGATGAAGAGAACCAGTCTCTTCTCTGTGTTTATACGTTGTGTGACTGTACTGCAGGCTGCACTCCTGCTTCCCCTGGTTAATCAGCACATCAGGATTGTTTGCATTTTGGTTCTCTCTCGCTTACGGTGGGGGGCCCAATTTTCTAAAACAAGTGTCTAAATTTAGGCATGTAGAGGCATACAGTTTTGGCTCCAAGCCTGAGGTTTAAAGTTACCCACTTCAATATTGGCATAAAGTGCTTGCTGTAAGAAACATCTGCAGCAAATTGAACCAATTTGAAACAAGTGTTAGTGTTCACCCGTAAAACTAAAAGGTCAAGCACTGACAAAATAAAAATCTGTGTTTATTGCAGTAGAACTGCTAGTTTACTGACAGCCTCTGTCTCTCTTGAGGATTAAAAAGATCTGCTTTTTCATTTGCTTAAAGGTTGGGAGTTAGGTATCTCTGAAAGCAAAGCTAAATTTCATCTGAATAGGAAAATCTACTTTGAGAAATAGGATGTTGAAGATAATGGTGAAACCAGCTTATAAATAGCTTTTCTTGAAAGATGAATTGGAATAAAAATTAAAATGACTGTTTTACAATATTGGAGCTTTCTGGAAGGTGAAAAGTCATTGTTGAATTTGTCCATTCCTTAGCTGCAATCAGTGGTCTAGGTGCCCCAAGGAGAGCTGCTGTACAAACCCTTGTGTTACAGTTATATTCCAGATCTGTGTATATTTAAGCTTGTTCTGGATTTTTATCTGCAAACTTTTTTACTGGCAGTTCAAGCAGAGACTGCTGAAATGATAAAAATAGTTTCTGATTAAGAAGTTGGCTGATATTGCGTGTTCTCTGTTTTTGGGTAGAAAATGTAAATTACCCATGCAGAATTACATGTGGACTCTTGAAAAAGATCAGCTATATTTAGTATTACAAAAAAAACCAGAGACCACTTATGATAAGAATGTCTTTTTCCGGTATTCCTATGTTTACCATGCTCAGCATGTTAATTATCTTGAAAATCAGTTGAATTTATCATAGTAGGATAATCATATTGCAAACAGTTCATCTTAGCCATTGGATTTACATTTGATTGTAACTAGTAGTCAATTTTAGTCAAGGATGATTCAGATTCTCTTGAAAATCTCTGCAGAACATGAATATTTGACTGTTAGTTTAGACAAATGTCATTGAGTGTAACTCTTGGTTTCGTTTTGTTTTGTTTTTTGGTTTTTTGTGTGTGTGTGTGTGTGTGTTTGGGTTTTTTTTTTTGTGGTTTTTTTTTTGTTTGTTTGTTTTCCCCGACCTTTTATCTGTCATGAAAATACAGTGTTCAAACTAAGAAAAAGCCTTCAGCTTTTTCCTCCTTCATTGGATTCCGGAACATATATTACCATGTTTAAAATTAATAGCCATAATATTTTATGTAACCATCTGCGTCTCTTTAAAAAGTTCCATATACTGGTCAAACTCTGTAAATAGCATGTACACAAACTTGGGTTTTAATTTCCATGGTGAAGACATCATTTGTGTTCAAGCAGAAACCTCGCTATGGTACATGTCGGTAATTTATCACCAAATTGAGAAACAATCCATTATATTAATTATTCCTCAGCGAAGACAAATCTCTTCTGTGGAACTGCTTTTATATGTAATCATCGCAATGCTTTGAAAATAAGGGTGTATCCTCATCACCTGTTACGACCTCTTGGCTATAAAAAACTTGTAGGTCATGTGAGATTTGGGCACCCTGTGCTGGTGTCCCAGTGGCAGAGAGATGGGGAGAGGCAGTGTCAGCGGGTGCTCATCCCTTGCTTTGCCTGCCATGGGTCCTTCCAGATTACAGATGTTCAGCTTTTATGTGTAGATCTCCACAGGCCTTAGAAGCTGTCTATGGACCACAGTTGGCTCTGGAACCTCTGCCTATGAGGGACTGGTTAGTCATCCCCATGGTTTTTTCTTCCCATCTTTCTTCTTGCATACCTCTGAATGCTCCTGGCTGAGTCCTCTGCCCTCATGCGGACCAGCTGCTGATGCCACCAAGCTGAGTTTTGCCTTTTTTCTACTCCTTAGCAGCAGCTCACATTTGTGTATAGTGCTAAGAAGCTCTGTAAAGCTGGATATGGGAAGTATAAGCATCCCTGTTGAGCATAGTAGCTATCCCTACACTGCTCTTTTGGTTGGCCCCAAAGCTGCTGGGTGGTTGTAGCCTGTAAGCGTGGCTCAGGTACAGCTAGCTCATGTTTTTAGGGAAGTTCCAGATCCCAAATGCCCAAACACTCCCAGTTAAATGGTGCATCTTGGTCTAGTGGGAGGTGTCCCTGCCCATGGCAGCAGGGTTGGAACTAGGTGATCTTTAAGGTCCCTTCCAACCCCAACCATTCTGTGATCTTGGACAGGCTGTCCACAAGGCAGTTGCCATGGCCAGGAAGCAGGTGGGAAACTGCTGTGCTGATGGCTATTCTGGTATCTGCACACAGTCCTGATTGGTAGGGCTATTCATCTGGGGAAACAGGCATGTGTATCTGCAGAGCTGACACTTTTTTAGGGCATTGAGGAGACAGATAATAGGAGAGTGACAGTAAGAAGAGCCAGAGTTACGTTACAGCAGCATTGCCATATTCTCGTGTTGTGTGGTATGGGGCTTGAGTTTGGTCTTTGCCTGAAAGGAAGCCCAGTGGGCTGCAGAAGCTGGTATTTCCTAGTGGTGTGATTTTTTTCTGAATTACAGTTTGCACGGCTGCAGGATGGGGAGACATAAAATAAGGCTTTGTGTGCACTTAGCAATTAAAAATTCCAGTGCAAGTTACAGTGGGGTTGTTTTGAACCCAGGCAATTGTCTTATGCCTGAGTTCTTCCTTCAGTTTTAATTGGATGTTTTCCACTTGTTGCTAATACAGTTATGCCTTTTGAAGGGATAAAGACATTCAGTAAGAAAGTTGGGAATAATTTGTGTTACAAAACATGTAACTGTTGTTTCTGTCTTTGTTATAGTCCACTGATGATAATTACACAGAAGATTACAACACTTGCATGCCAGTTACATGACGGTAAGAAGAGGAATCTCTTCCCATGTCCTGAAGACAGCCTTTTTCTTCCAGCGCATTCTGTGGTTGAGTTATAGAGCGGATGAATGCAGTTCAGCGAGTTGCTCTAAATGAAGATGTGGAGGAAAACAAGAAACTCCAAGTTTTGATCCGTTCTCTAGGATCAAACTGTCTTTGCTGTAATGAAGACAACTGTTTTCCCCTTTGGGCGCTCTCCTTCCTTGGGGCCGAGTTTGGATTTTAGCTGGTACCAGTATCTGCTGTTTAGATGCTACAGTGCATTTCCATTAAGCTCTGAAGCTGTTCTTGGTGCTCCAGAATGAACAGCTGTGTTCGATACATAGGTTCTGTCATTAAGGTAGCAAAAATACGCTATCACTGATATATCCATGACTTGCGAGAGGTCAAATTCAATAGCTTTTCCCCAGTTTGGGGAGAAGCACAGTTGCAAGCAAAATTGTCTTCAGTCTTGTGCTGTGCTGTGACAAAGAGCACTATTATGTCTCAGTAAAATGCCTGTGTCTAGTACAGCACAAAGGCTAGAAATGTCAGTTGTCATCAGTACTGTTATTGCTCGTGTCTGCTGATGTTGCAGTGTGAATTTCTGATGGTTGGAGGCCCACTGCATTATAAGGTGTGGGTGACTAAATAAGTAGCCTACTATAGAGTTGTTATGATCTGGGATTTAGGTGATGGCCACACCACAGACTGCAGGGTCTGGTGTTGTTTGGAAGCCAGGTTTACACAACTGGGTCTAATGCTTTTAGCTGGCTATAACTGGTGCAGCTTGAAGCTTGGCTAATTGAGCTTGTTGTTGGCATTTGTGTTTCTGGGAATTCTCTGCCTCTGTTATTTAAGCTAGCCAGCTCAGGTATCCCTGCGTGCCACAGTGGTGTGCAGCCTGTATGCACACCTACAATATTGAAGGTAAATGAACAGAAAGAAAGGAAAAGGTAACAGGAGAGGCAGCACCATTTTAAGCAAACCAGAAATCCTACAGATGAATGATGGTAGAAGAGGCTCATTCCATTGTGAATATCCATATATGGAGCCGTTGATCAAATGGAGGCAGCTTGCAGTTCAAGCATTAAGTGACAAATCTCTGTAAAAATTTAATGCAGCTGCCCATAAATGGAAACAGACAAATGAAATACCCAGCCTTTTTAGTAGTTAAGTGTTTAGTTGTTTCTCTGCAACTTGTGCTTTCCCGGTATTTACATACTGAAATAGAGAATGGAAATGAGCAGCTTATCAGAAGTCTTTTTAGGAAGTGGGTCTTGTGTGTGCATATTGGTAATTATGGCCAGTAGGTTTAGAACAGTAGTGTTAGCTGATGCCAAGCCCCTGGTCTTATGAAGATGTATAGATGCACGCTCAGCATCAAGTGCTGTGACTCATCCCGTGGCGAGCTGTTCTGCTGAAGCCAGTGGGATTCCTCACAGTATGTGCAGCTGAAGCGTCAGGGTGAAGGTTTTGAGATATTTGCTGTGAGCAACATCTGTTTACACAGTAGCCATCATACAAGATTTTTACATAGTTTTCCTGGGAAAGCAAGTCTGTGCTCTTGTCTCTGGCCCCAAGGGTCCTGTACACTCACCAGGAGATCGCCCTTCCAGTTTGCTCCTTGTACAATCCCAGATTATCACTGATGTGTCTGTTTAGGCTCGCTCTAGCAGCAAGCAGCCAGGCTGCTCATTCACACCAGTGGAGCTTCTGTTTCCTGAGAGCCCGTGTCTCTTCCACTGCCTGCTCCTCCTGCTGTGAAATGCTCCATTTCTCACCAAGGAGCCAGCAGGAGTCTTGTGCTTAAATGAGCCCCCAGCTTCTGGGAACAGAGGGTTTTCCAGCCCCGGACCGTTAGCAGAGGCTGCTGGGGGCAGAGTAGAACATGCATATACTTGACCTAAAAGTTAGGAATTGTGCTGTGTTACAACTGTCTGTCACAAAGAAATATTGAAGCTTATGGCTTTAGAAAGTTATCTGTGGGATGCAAACATAAGGCTTTGGGGATAGCTTTCACTGTTTGGCTTTCGGAATGATCTCATGTGGCTTTTCTTTCTTTCCAGGAATAGGTCGACAAGCTGAGGAACTCACTGCTGAGCAAAATCGGCTTGCTGTAAAGTAAGAATTTAATTCCCCTAGTGATTTGTGTTTAATTTCAGCCAAAGAAGTTTAGAGTTTGGGTTTGTTTGTTTTTTCCCTTTGCAATGTCAGGAGCAACTTAGTGGCCCAGCCATGACAATGTTCCCTGCTTCTTCTCAGTCCATCTTAAGCCAAAAGTTCTGCCTGCTTTTTCTATTTGTTTGAGCAGTTTTGTTTTTGTATATACTGCAAACAGTGCCCTCCTTACACATACATAGCTTCCCTGCTATATTCCTTATTTCTTCAATCCAGGACTTCTGCCTTTATCCCCCTGTGCTGATCAATAAAGCACTGAAGTACTCGGCAACATCTCATTGACTTAAAAATATATGTGCAAAAAAACTAGTCTTCACTGAAACAAGTCTTTTATATTCAAGCTAAGACTGTACTATATGGACTTTTTGGCTGTTGTCTTCATCCACTCTGTGTTATGTTATTTTTCTAAGTAGAATACTCCTCCTCTGTCAGCAAACTACTGCATAGTAAAAATCCATTTTGGTTTGACTCCGACACTTCAAATACTGCTTTTCTTTGCCATAGCTTTTGGATACTGAAGTTTTATTTTTCCTGTCTCCCTCTGTAATGTTCATACTCCTAGTCCTTCACATTATGTAACTAGTCTTCTCATTTTTCAGAGGGAGGCAGCATGTTGATCATATATTTGAGTGCCTTTTTTTTTTTTCAGTTTTGTCTCTCAATACAACTGTAGGATGCAGGTGATTTTTTTCTTTTTAGAAGAAGATTTAGAACCTTAGCTACTTTTCACCATGAAGCGTTTGTTGAAGGCAAAGTATTTCTTGCGTTTCCAAGGCAGAAGATTCAACTATCAGAAAGTCTGTCTGTGAGCTTCTAAAAGTAAGAAGGGAGTAATTTCTTGAAAAGCAAAAATACTCTAGGGAGACTTGTATAACTTTTGCTGTGACCAATAGCTTTGTGTCTAGTTTTAAAGCTCACAGCATAACTGTACTGGGCCCTTGTGACCATATGATTAATTCTAGTCAAATTCTCACCAAACAGGCTTTTTTTTCCCTTGTACAGTGCATGAGCTCATAATAGAAAAGTACATGCCAATAGCTCAAGCGTCGGTGGCAAGCAAGTCCTAACTGAAGAGTTTTAAATCCCCTTTGGTAATACAGCCTTTTGTCTTCCCTCCTGGTTTTGGTCTGTTTTTGTTTCTCACTCATCCTCTGTACATTCCTTCGTGCATTGCTCATGTCTCTCCACCCACCTTTGTTAATCTAAGTTAAAACTAATGACTCTATTGTTAATCTTACTGTAGAGCTCAGAAACCCAAATCATGGACCCAGTTTTGCAGAACAGAAAGATGAGCCTTACCCCAAATTTGTTGCTGCATCTTTCTGTGAAATGATTTCACCACAGAACGTATCATTCAGGAACTAATATCTACAATAACCAGCAGGGTGAATGCAGAAAATCCTGGCTAAACTAACTGTTTATTCAAACTAATTCCGATTCAGAATAAAAGTAGGCAACAGCAAGTGTTTAACTGTTGCTTAGTTTTTCTGCTAGAAATTTATGTTTTGGTCTGAAAGAATTTTAAGTGGGTTTTGGTTTATGCTTGTCCATCTGTCTTGGATGGGAAAGTCTTGAAACACTGTGTCCTAGTTTCTGTTCTCATCTGGGAACTCCTCATTCACTTGGATGGTGACTGCTAGCACATTCGTGTGTGCTAGCACACTGTGTATCTCAGTGCAGAATTGAGATGTTGGTGTTGTGTTTTTTTTTTTCTACAAATTACACTAGCAGTGAGAGGTCTGTGCATCTTTCTTTTCCATCCTGCTCATCTGTAGCAAGGACAGTGGATCTTCTTCATTTTACATCAAATGTAGAACCCACCAAGGAACTTGTGGGATATGTGCTTGCAAAATGGAAATAGTGAATATGACAGACTCTGACTTTCATCTTCAGCTGTCCTTTGATTTAAGTGGTTTTTTTCCTTAGTTCCTTTTCCCGCTCATGATGTGATCCAGGCAATTACTTCCTGTATTTGCACAGTAGGACAGAGTGCCTCTTCATTCTCTTCCTCGATGTCTCCCATCACGCTTCCCATTTTTTCAAAAGGCTGAACTGCAGGGTGGGTGAGAGCTCCTCTCAGGCCTGAGAGCCCTGGTCTGAAATGCTCCCTGCCCTGTGGTTTGGGTGACAAGGCGAGGTACTGCATTGCACTGCTTGGTGAGACCAGTGTTACTCAGCTTGTGGTCTGCCAGCCATCACTGGTCCCTGCTGTACTGGATAGATGTCCAAACCCGGTTACCAACTTCTTGCTCCCGGTACTCCTGACCTGTTCAAAATGCGCCAGTCAGTTTGCTTGAGAGTGGCTGTTTAAATTCATGACTGTTTCTAATGAAAATGTTCCTAGTAATAAGATTACAACTTTCCAAATCGGTAGCATTTGTTCACCTGTAGCTTAAGCATTTACACGTTGCCCTTGTTCTGAGTGTCATCTGCCAGGCATCACCGGGATAGAGGAGAGGCTGTGCTTCATCTTCTGCAAAACAGATCTAGTGAGCTGCCAGCTGGGGAGAGGGTGGTAGGAGAGAGTTGGGGACTGAGGCAGACGGTACAACAAAAAACATTTGTGAAAGCCTTTGCTGTGTTTTAACTTGTTTTGCTGCTTGTTGTTGTGTATGGATGATTTTCACAGGACAAGACCTTCTTTACTGGAGTATTTAAGCTATCTCCTCAATTTTATGAGCATCATAGCTGGGCCTTGCAGCAGTTACAAGGATTATATAGCCTTCATTGAAGGGAGGCATGTGCACATGAAACTGTTAGAAGTGAACTGGAAGCAGAAGGGTTACGACAGACTTCCTGATCCTTCTCCAACTGTAAGTTTTAAAATGATGACGATTTATTGCAGAGGGCAGGAGAGTACAGCTTTGGACATGATTCTCATAATTAAAAACGAAGAGGGAAAACCATTTTTGGATTATCTTCCCAGTACATGTTACAGTGGTGGGTGGTGTTGTGTTTTTGTTTTTGTTTTTTTTTTTTTTCCTGTGAAGTGGCTGCTGTTTTTATCACAGGGTCAGGGGTGAAGGGGCTAGTGTCTTCCTCTTGAATTCCCCAAATGCATTTGGCTTGCAAAACGGGTCCTTGGTTAATGAGTGTCCTTTGTGTAGCAATGGGAACAGTCTACAGGTTCTGACAATGATGAGTTGCAGTTCAGCTCCAAACACAAGAGGAAATGTCAGAAAAAAGAAGAGTCAACTCTCGCCCATAATGCAAGAGATGTTAGAAGTACATGAATCACGACTAATCAGAAACTGTAGCATGTCCAGGTGCTTTGCAAGAGAATCTTGCACTTTAAGAGGACTTGAAGATCATTTTCCACATACAATTAACACTAATTATTTTTCTTTTGTATTACTTAAGACCTTCTTATAAACTGACCTTCTTGCAAGGCAGGATAACGTAGGATGAGAACCAGATTCCTCTCTCTTACCTTAAGATGACATTGAATGTGTGTGAAGAGTGTCTCCTCTGAAATTGTGCCTGTACATACCTGATTCCTGTTCCACTTGATTGTATTTCTACTGACTTCAGTGGTGTTACTTCTGATGTACATTAGTCTTACTGAGGTCAGAATAAGGCCCATATTGTGTTAGATGCAAGTCATCAGAGAATATTAAAATTTGCATTGTAACCATTTAAAGATATGTGCATGTTAATTTAATTTAATCTTGAATATAGAGAAGATATAAAAAGGAGTACTTGATCAAAAAATGTATTGTTATTTCAATAGTATATTGTACTTTTAGTGGTCTTTTGAGAACATGAGTCAATTTTTACATGGTAGCCAAGTGCCAGATGTACTTTTTTAAATTGACTGTATCAAGGAGAGTTTACTCCTGATAGGTATTTGAAATTGAGCTTCCAACTACTGATGTGATTGTCAATAATATTAGAATATGGAAAACTAGGGAGCAGTAATAGAAAACAGTATGGCATAGCAGATACCCTATATCATGGGAACGTATGCATTTGGTATAAGACACATGCTTTTTGAAGAAGTGATTTTTAGCAAGACCCCTGGATGGTAGCTGGACAATTAGACCTACTTTTGTAGGTCTGAATAGTACTGAATACTGATGCTTTTGGCATCCAGGAAGAATCTGATCTTTAGTTCCAGATGATAGCCCATATAGGGAAGATTTTACCTTTACGTTGTGGGGTTTGGTTTTTTTTCTCATTTTACGACTTTTGCTAACTGATGTAGGAGTCTCTTGTGAAGCTCATTGCCAATTTTGACTTCTGATTGTCCATTGTACCTATCTATAGATAGTTCAGTAAAACAAATTAAACCAAAGCTTTGACTGTGGGCCTTTTCTCTGTTACCTCTTCTAGATTCACTCTTATCAACTTTGTCACTGAGAACTTTATTGGTTCTTGAAGCACATTGTTTTTGTATGTCATGAGTACTGGTTGTTTTGTTTTGTTTTTTTTTTTCCTTAAGCAAATGTTTCTAATGAATGCTTCATTGTTGTTTGTGCTTTTTAGGGAGCAGTGATGTACAAACTGTGTATCACACTAGTATCTCTCATTTTATTCTTGACACTTACCAAGAACTTTCCTATGGCATATATTATTGATAATGAATTTCTTGATAAAACACCCTTCTTGTCAAGACTTGGTTACCTGTATGTTGTAACACAGGCAGCAAAACCAAAGTATTACTTTGCATGGATGTTGGGTAAGTCTAGCTACATCACTTCTTTTTATAGGCAACAAGTAAGTTCATAAATGGGGAGGGGGTCTGAAACATTGTTGGGAAACAAAAATAAACTAGTCCCTAGACCTGTACTTTGCATGGGAGATGTTCACCTGTTGCTGCGGGCAGTGGACCCCACTGAAGTGATGTCAAAAGTTTTAAAAAACATGCAATAAAATCTCCTCAAGCTTGTCTGACATCCCCTGTCTCTGGAACCAAATCTGCTTTTCAGCCTCTTGCCTGTAAAGTCAATGTAAAAATTTCTTCTTGCTTAAAACTTTGTACCACAAAAAAACTTACAGGAATTCTTGGGAAAAAAGTTGGCCTCCTCTAAACCTTGAATTTACGCTTTATTCAGAATTTGCCACTTACATCAGTGGGGGTTGGGAGGTAAAAATTAGTCATGCTGGCTCAGGCTTTACAAGTATGTTTTTAATACAAACATGCCTCTCTCTTCCTATGGGACATCTTTAGGACATGCATCTGTACTAGAAAGCTGTAATGCTTGCTGAGGGGCTGATGTTAGGCTTTGCCGCTAAGGCACTGTGTGATCCTGTACACACATCAGCTTTGAGTGGTCAAGAGAAAGGATTGGAGAACCATGGGAAAGGTAGAGAACAAAGGAGGTGATGGGAAGGACCCAAGAATCTATGCAGGGAAAGGGAGAAGAGAAGGAAGAGGTCTCGTTATAGAGAAGCACATCTATTTTATTGTGAGCCAGCAGACTGGTGGTCAAAATTATATTTTTGGGTTTTACCTTCTTCCTTTTGCAAGTCACCTTTCCCATCTATGTGTGAGGAGTCGAATCCTTCTAGGCTGGGCTGAAAATTGAGAGACTAAGTTTATTTTGCTGGTATTACAAGACTTTGTGTGTAGGGGAGATCCTGAAAGCCCAGCCAGCAATGCATACACCTGAAACTGAGAAGAGCATCATTGAGAGGGGATGGAAAGAGCTGGGGAAACTCATTGCAAGGCTGTGATTAAACTGCTGGGAATAAAACTGACAGACTGAGGGAAGACAGCCAGGCCTGGCATGTGTAGGATGGGAAAGGCTTTGGGATAAAAATTACTTGCTCAGAAACTTACTTTACTGGGATCCAGTGTTAAATGGTTACCTCCGTTTTTTCTGATACACCAGAGCTGTGGAAGTCAGCAGGGAAACCTCTGCTGGGCGGTGTGGAGGTTGGGGGTTTGTGATCAATTTGAGGGTGGACAATTGTGGTGGTTCTGCGCTTCACACCTTGCTCTGCAGACAGCAGCTCGGGAGCAGGATGATGGCTGTATTATTATGCCCCTGGATTATTGGTTTCTTGCAAAACCCTGCCACCTGTAGAGCAAGGAGGAGCAAATCCAGGAGTCCCCCTGCTCTGGGATGACAGTTATGCACAGCTCCAGTCTCTGGCTGGCACTTACCATAAGGTAAATAGAATTTCAGACGGGGTGTTGGTGTTTTGTTTATTGAGTTTTTTAAAACAGGGTGAGAATTAGAAACTTGGAGACCTTTCTTTCCATCAGTAAAATCTAGCTCATTTAGTAAAGGAAACAAAGGAAAGTTGCAGGTTAGAGAAGGTTGCTTATTGTTACTCTTCTTACTTTTAATTAGATTCTCTCCCTGGTTTTGGGATTCCTCCATGAGCTTGTGCCTGTATTCATAGTCCTTACAAAGCAAAATCGGTTTTCATTCTTAGGAAATAAATGCTGTCCTTTTTAAAGTGTAACTTAACCAGGCTTGTATTTTGTAAATGATCTTAGAAGGAAAAGCCTTACCTGTATTTTTGCCTGCCTTCTTCTTCCAATAATCCTTGGTGTTGTCTGCACCTAGTGATCTAGAGATAATGAGTCCCTCCTGTTTTCTTAGTATGCTGAGGGGGGATTTATGGCAGGGGCATGTTAAAAGCAGGATCTTGAGACCCAGTGGTGAGGTGGCTTCCAGGGAAGGCTGAGAGGGGAAGTAGCTGACCGGCACCCTGGGAAAGAGCAAGAGTGCAACACGTGAAATATCCGTCCTTACCCGACCTTTTATTTGCACTTGAAATAGTAAAGTCTGTGATTGAAGTTACTCAATATGGGATTCATAGAGATGGTGAGGTACTTTGGGAGGCACTGAGTAACAGGATTAGCAAAAGACTTTGCAGAAGTCTGAATGAAAGTATTAATTAAAATGACCATGTTGGAACTCAATAGAAATGGTAAGCATGTCTTGGAGACACTACAGTTTTTCTGAAATATGGAAAATGCAGTGACATCCAGGTACCCTGTTGAGGAAACTGCTAATTTGTTTTATGGTAACTCTTGTATATCTATCGCAGATAGATGATAAAGGCAAAATAACGGGAAAAGTGATTTCTACCCATTATTATTTTATTTTTATGTTATTTTATTTCTGCTTCCCAAGGAGTAGCTAGTCTTTCTTCTTGAGGATGTGATTCCATTTTGCCTTCTAGCAATGCCTCTTTGCCACAAGGAAGCTTCTCTTTGGAAGCGAGGATGCTAATTACTGTAAAGCTGAATCAGATATGTGTTTAGTGTCGTACTGACTTGTAAGAAAACATGACTCCTCCAGCAGTCTGATTTGACCTGTTTTGCTTTAACATTGCAGCAGATGCAGTCAACAATGCAGCTGGTTATGGATTCAGTGGAGTTGATGAGAGGGGCACTTTCCGCTGGGACCTGTTGTCCAACTTAAATATCTGGAACATTGAGGTAAGTTAAAGGAGTGGCCACATTGACATAGTTATAGAGAAATGGGCATGACAATGGGGAGAGGCTTTGCTGAAAGGAAAATAAGTCCGTACCACTGGATTCTCCTTCTTAACCATGGAGAAGTTTTGTATTTTATCTGTTGGGCAGAGAAAAAGCATCTGTCACGCAGCTTTCATCGTGTGCTGTGTTCAGGTTGCGTTTCTAAGTAGTTTATAGGGGACTAATAAATGATTAATCAGATGTTTAATAAATGAGCAATCAGTTACTGTAGATTGTGGCTGAGTTCAGCGGGTCAATAAATTGCTCGCAGCTATGATTCTCCACCATCTGTGGTGTATTCTGTTTAGTTACTTCCAACAGTCTTCCACTTTTGCAACGCAGTTGAGATGGGTGTTGATAGTGAAAGAGGCTGCCCTGAGTAGGCATTGCACAGACACTTGCGAGGGCTGGGTCCCTGCACATGCCCGGAGTGCCTTTGTAAATGGAGAAAAGCAAGGGTCGGTGAGATAACAGGTACAGACGGAGCAACCTGAATGGGAACTGTCAGGGCCACAGAGAGATGTTAGATGGCTGCTGATCTAGAGCTCCATCCAGCAAACTACACTGTTTCTCAAAACATCTGTCACACGTGTTTCTTGTGACTGTGGTATACTTTTAACATCCATTAGTCTTTTGTAAGCTATTTATGTTTGTTTCTCTAATGCAAAAAGATGGCCAATGTAATTTGTTTGCCCCAAAGAATATTTTATGAACTTCAGTGGTATGTGGAAATGTTTATATGTCTGAGACTGCTTTCTAAAGGCTTCTTTTCTTTAGAAATAGGAGGAGTTTCCCCCCATAATTCTGTAGTTATGATTGTAAAAGGAAAAACAGATGAAAATAACTTGACTGCTTTCTTGCTGACTGATCTGTGTCTAAGCAAATATGCTTTAATAGCTATTCTCAAAAACTAAAGAGCCCCTGTAATTCTTTATTGAAAGACGCAAAAACTGCAAGTATCATTATACATTCTCTCTTTCTCAACATCCTTTTTTTTTTTAGCTTAATTAATCAGAGAATCATCATAGAATCATAGAATGGTTT